CAGGCAGGTGTGGCCTGGCTCTGCCTGCAGATGGGCAGGGGATCCAGCTGGTGCCTCCCTGGCTGCTGCCTGCCCCTGCTTGGGCTGGAGAGTACCGGGTTGGGCTCTCCCTCCTTGCAAGGAGGGATGGTCTTTTGGGCTCTGCTTGGTGCCTTGTGTCTGTATCTCCTCTCTGGATGCTGTCGCTCCTGCCTGTACCCCCTCCTCCTCTGTCTTCCCCTTTGCAAACTCTGCCTGGTCACCCCCTTCCCTGTGCCTTCAATACCCTGCAGGACACTGTCACCCGTTGGCCTTGGCCTGGGGAAGCTATCTCTCCCTGCTTCCCACAGCAGCATTGACCCTCAGTGATGCTCACGGGTGTTCTCACCCCCACCGTTGCCTGTGGTCGTGCCTTGGCTCTCCTCCTTCTGGGACCTTCTTCCCTTCCTTGCCACGCCCCAGCCCTGGGCCGAGGAGGGATTCACGGGTGCTGTTGTGTCCCCCTCTCTGCTTGTTTCCCCAGGTGTGTTCTGAGGCTGCTGCGCCCGGGAACCGTGCACGCCCACGGAGGCTGTCCCAGCCAGGACTCCGCTTTGCCCCTGCACGGCCACCCCCTGCCACCCCCTTTCCCCAGCACCCTCTGGCTCCGTGGGATGCGGCGGGGTGGGGGGGGGCACGACAGGGCTTGTGTCTGAGCAATATCCAGGGCACCACGAGGTGGTGGGGAGGGTGATGATGGGGTGCCAGAGGGGAGGGGATAGTGGGGGGGTTGCTGTAGATTAGGCTGCTGGGGGGTTGCTGGCAGTAGGCAGCGAGGGGCAGCACAGCTGGGCTCAGCCAGTGGGGCTGGGCTCTGCCCCCCTCCTGGCTGTAGCCCACTCCTCCTTGACCCCCTTCTGCTTACAGAAAATAAACCTGTTTGCAGTAGCTGGTGCCTGGGGGGTGTCTTCAGGCTGAGGGCTGCAGGGTGGTCTCAGCTGCGCTCATCTAGCGGTTGTGGGGTGCAGGCTGTGCTCCTGCAGGGCCCTGTGCCCCCCTGCCCTTACACACACAGTCAGAGGCTAGGCCTGGCTGCAGCTACACAAATGCGACACAAGAACTTTATTCACATAAAGATACAATATTATATTTCTCTAGAAATTTCTCTTCTGCTTGAGTGACAAGCCAGGGGCCACACAAAGGGAACCTGGGGCTGGACCACAGAGTCTGGGGACCCCTGCCCACTCCTGCACCCCATATGGGCACAGGGAAGGGAGCTTATGCTAGACTGCCAGGTTGGGGTGCAGAAGGATAGCTTGGGGGGAGCCCCACAGCCATCTCCTAGCAGCATCCTTTGCAGGGAGTAGGACTCGTGAGCTCAGTCCCCTCTGAGGCGTCAGTAGGTGTGATGGTTTTCTGTGCCCTGCATGCAGAGGGGCTGAGCCCTGTGTCCCTGGGGAGAGGGGCAGGGGGGGTTGGG